ATTAAAAAGAAATTTAATCAAAATTCTAATAATGCTGAGTACTGTTATAATTACATATGATTTAATGAAAATTAATATGAATAGAATAAAGTTCTTACAAAGTTAAGAGTGCTTTAGGAGAAAAAAATGAACTCTTCTTTTTATGCTAAAATACTTGCATGCTTAAGAAAGAAAGTTTTAATTTCACATTTGCCAATTTGATTTACAATTCCAGTCAGTTCATACAGTTAGTTAAGTGAGAAAGACAAAACAGATTGCAGAGCTGAGATTTGTAAGTGGTCTTTAAAAAAAAAAATCAAATATACGAATCCTTTCTACACATTTTTTCATTTGATTTTCACATTGATCTTACATGGCATGGGAGATCCAGTGCTATTAGTTTTTTCCATTTTAAAGGTCAGCAAACTAGCAATTAATGAATGGCCCAAGGTCATACTCTGGTCAGCTACTAACTGGAGACACAAATCCAACCCTCTGACTCTAGTGAATGCTCTCCTTCCATTATACGTGTACCAGAGCTGGGATGCTACTAATTATAGACTATTCGGAATAAGCTTCCTGAATCCTATATACCCAAATATGAGTCAGAGATAGAGAAGGAGAATATAGAACAAGGCAGAGTAGACTGAGTGATGGTCTAGGTTAATTGTTAACTACTGTCATTTCCAGCACAAGTTTTCCCAAAAAAGTCTTGCCTTCCCCATGTGACACCTAATCATCTGTAAGAAGAAAACTAACAGATTCTTTTTCAAAACAACTGGAGGACTAATTGGGCTGGAGCATTCATTCTTTTTCCCTATTACTGTCTTTTCATTAATATTTGCACGTACTGAGAAACTCCTATGTTCCAGGCATAATGCCTGCCAGCATGAATAACGTTACCCTGACTTTGCCCTGAAAGAGTTTCTAGTTTGGGGGACAATAAGAGGCAAACAGGTTATAAAAATAGTCATGAGGCAATGTAACAAAATACTATTGGTTATCTATAAAGCGCTGGAAAGCAGCAATTCCGCATAAGGGCATGAGGGAAAGAATAGGGTATCTTAATATGTTTGCTAGTTACCATGAAATGATTCTGACATTTCCAGTCTGGAAAAACAAATTAACTGCTATTTTAGTTACTAAGTTATATAACAGCACAATACAACAATATTCTGCAAGAGACAGCCACTTGTCAAATAGACACAGATACACATAGTGAAAATAAAAAAAAGAGAAAAAATTTGTAAACGTTTCAGAGTCAGTGATATTACAAAGTTACAAATTTATAAAATGTTTTCCCTTCTGTTTTGAGCATACATTTTGTTCAAGAAATTCAATTAGGTTTTCTAGTCTTAGTCAATTAACTCTTCCATAGACGTACAGTGTTCACAAAATAATAGTAAGATTTAGATCCCTGAGGCATATAATCTGTCCTCGCCTGAGACTGAAATGAGGTCTGGAACAGTTTTCACTAATATTTGCTTATTACTTTTATAAGTTTTGTGAAATGGGGGTTTGTTTCTGGAATGGATCTAGCTTGTTATTATGCTTCTCAAATTAGCCCAAGTACTAATGTGCTATGGGATAAAGCAGCATATTTTCTAGAGATAAAAATTTCCGGATGGGTGAAAGATCAAGGATAAGTAAGGAACCCTTACATTATTATTATTTTTTATTTTATTTTATTTTATTTTTTGCAGTTTTTGGCCGGGGCTGGGTTTGAAGCTGCCACCTCTGGCATACGGGGCCAGCACCCTACTCCTTTGAGCCACAGGTGCTGCCCGGAAACATTACATTATTATGCTGAACATGGCTGCACCTTAGAGTATAAAGTAACGTTCATATAAATTTTAACCAATAAGACACTAGATTAAAAAACAAATGAACTTGTCCTTTCATAGGGCTCTCTGGCTATCCAGCCAGAACCTCTTGCCATTTGCCCTCATCCTTCTTAGTTCCTAAAGGTAAGTCAATGAAAAGCAATGCTGCACTGAACTGAAAAAATTTCTAAATGTGACCATTTTTGGAGTTTGAAAGACTGTAACAAAAATGCCTGGAGGATCAGATACTTTGAGCTTGTTTTTATACCTCATACATTGGGTATGCTATTCCGTGGCCTTTTATCTTAGGCAAATATATGATTCCAATATGGGTTGGGTCCCTCATTTCCAATTTCACAATGCTGAGAGCTACGAATGCCTTGAGGAAAAAAACAATAAGAAGTAGGTTGGGAGTGACTTATCCTTCACTTTGCACGACCTCCGCACACACAGAACACCGCATTTAGTCTTTCGAGTTGAAAGATGAAAGAGGAACAGATGGTGTTGGGAAAAAGTGCACTAACTTCCCTGAACGTCTCGTTCAGGAGTACTCAGAGCAAGCTCATGACAAAGCCTCTTTTGAGAGAACTGGACTACCTCACCAGCAGCCCCGAGCTGCTCATTGTGGGAGTGATGCAGGTATGTGCTGGGGCGGGACGGAGGAAGTCATCAGTCAAGGTCACGCTGCTGCTGCTACAAGTCACAGGGAAATAATGCATGAGCTGGGTCAATATCTCCACTGGCTGTTGCAAGTTTCTAGTTGTGGGTTATCTGCTTTACAGATTTAAGCTCTCAAGTGATTTACATTGTATCCATTCCTCATTCAGTGCAGAAACGATTCCTTGTCTGAAATGGAACTGTTATACTACAGGACATGAAACATTTATAGAGGCCAGTTAAGAGAAACAACTGATGACTGGAGGGATTCAGCCAAGCAAAGATTCAGTACTCTCCAGCTCTAGTCACTAAAAAGTTAGTGTGCCTAGTAGATTGTAAAATTTGTACACAGCAGATCATAAAATTTAACTACTGTTTCATCTTCATCGCTTTTATATACTTTGGATATATCTATAGCCAATATATATAGACACTAAACACTAAATCTGTCAGAAAAACTCAAAGCCATAAACCTTTTGAGGGCTGTCGGTATATCTGCGGTAATTCTGCTTTCTTCGAGGCAGTTCCTTGCCCAGTAAAGAGAGATTTCCAAGTGAGAAAACTCACAAGAGAGAATGTGGACTAAGTTCCCAAGAGCGTTTCCTCAACAGGGTTCCAAGATACACGTCCCCTGAACTTGTCTAGGCTTGCCCTGTTTTTCTTCATTCTGTTTCTTCAGTTTCTCTTCTGTTTTGCCCTTTGAGTTGGATGCCTTTGTGTTAACAAATTATAGCTCTTTAACCTCTACAAATGCTTCCTAATTTACCTCCTGCATTCCTGCGCTGCCACAGAACTCCCCTGAGCCACTCCTGTGACTAAGGTGACATCCCCAGGTATGTGACCACCCCCCTCCCCAAGTTATACTTAACACAGGTGTCCCAGGCCTTGGCTTCCTCCGCCAGGCACACAGAAATAATTATGTAAAAATCACTAGTTAATCGAGCAGCAGTACTGAATGCTTTCCAGTTTGATTGTCTTGAAAAAAACATTAAGTATGCACAGAGGTCCTAAAATCACTTGACTCCACCCATTCACATGTATCTAACACTGAGCCGGTGATTTTTCACAGGAAAAAATAAGTAAAAAACAAACACAAAGGGCATTAAGTGTGTCTATGTACCTTCTTCATTTCTTTTTAAAGAAGGAAAGTTATAATATGCTAAAATCTAGAATTACATGCAAAAACTTTCATTGCCACAAAGATACCAGATAGGATATCTATGAATCCATGAAGAATGCATCCTAATATCTCAGTTAGAGGATGCCCTGAGCACCCACATTCTGTAATGTTACTAAACGTAGCTTTTGTGACTTTACCCAGAGCAAGCACATTTCTCTCTGCTTTGTAATCTCCGTTGAAATTAGTACTCAAGTCTAACTGTCTTACTTGATCTCCAAGTTTTCACAAATACCAAGAAACTTTGCTATTATAAGTTATAAAAGGTTTTTTTTTTTTTTTTTTGAGACAGAGTCTCACTATGTCACCCGAGAGTGCCTTTGCGTCACAGCTCACAGCAACCTAAAACTCTTGGGCTTAAGCAATTCTCCTGCCTCAGCCTCCCATATTTATTATATGCACAGCAGTTTGAAAGCACTGCTGTAGGAAACAGGTTCAAGCATTCCTGAAATATAAAATGTTGCCTTGACTGTGCTCTGTCCCTTTCCTTTACCCCTTGGTTCTCTGCAGAATTCTGGTGGCATTACTTCCTGTGCCAAATAATCTAAAAGTCGCATAGGTCTGCGTGATCAATTTCTTCCAAAAAGCACAATGTTTTGACATAGCACAGAGTTTTTAAACCTATTTATTTTTCAAACTAGATGACTCTCCACTGTCAATCATAGTTTTTAGTCAATCGCTCTGCAACCCCCCCCAGAAAGCAAGACAGTTTATGAAATGGTTTCTATCCCCGAGGCTTCACAAGTTCGAAAGGCTGAAATGCATTATTTAATAAATGGGTTTCTACGCCTCACATAGGCAATCTCATTTTTAAGCCTTCAATAAAATTTTCATCAAGAATAATAAAAGAAAAACATTTTCATGAGCCTTCAAACATCACAGAACAAATTAATGATTTATAAATATTTTTATAGTTGAGAAAGCTTTTTCCTTGTATATGATAGAAAATAAAATTAGTCACTATGATGGGGCAAGTCAACATTATTTAAAAAAAATTTTTAAAGTGGTAACAGGCAAGTTCTGAATAGTTACAGCCTATATACCACATCTCTCAACCATAGTCGGCCATAAACTTTTACTCCTCAAACCTTCCGTTATGTGAGGTTCCTAAAAGCCAGAGCTGATTTCCAAAACTCGCTCCCAATTTGCACATTCTATAACATACTTTTTTTAATGCACTTTCTCTCCCAAATGTCCTCAAAAAACAATACTTTTTTATGTGTTTGTAAAAGGGACATTTCTCTAACATCATTTTAAAGCACGGTTGTGTAAATGTTTTGATCCATCTCTTAGATTATAAATCTCAGGGGGTCATGCTGGAGTTTTTAAACGTATTTATTTTTCAATTATGGTAATAACATGTAAAAGGTTCCAGCTCTTTGAATACATTTAGAAGGATAAATTCTTTTTAATGAAGAGGAAAGATCAGACATTGCTCCAGCACAGAGTCAAAGCCAAGGCAAGCGTAAAGCACCATGGGAGTTCACTGTGCCATAATACCTTTTTTGACAACGTGCAGCACAGTGTCAAATTTCAATGTTCAAAGCGACTACAGAAAAAACAATTTCTTATTATTTCCAGGTATAAATGCCACACCGATATCAATGGAGTTTGAATTGTTATCCATTCCAACCTGCCAAAACTTAAATAGAAGAACATTAACATTTACACATTTGTCCACATAGAACAGGTCTATACCCAATTTTTCCCTGATAAATCACATATCAAATAAACAAAAAATAAATTTTTATAAATTTTAATTTTTAAAGGATTCCAGGGGCACATGTGCCTCTGAAATGAAAATAAAGTTGCCTAATCCTTGGAACTATTGAAGAATAAAATTCTTAGCTGACCTAAGGCAGCTTTTACCATAACAGAGGACGAGTAGAGACATGGTGAAGAGAATTAGAATGAATTCTTCCTAGAGATCGTGGGGACAGAGAGTTAATTGGAATGAATTCTTCTTAGAGATCGTGGGGACAGAGAGTTAATCAGAATGAATTCTTCTTAGAGATCATGGGGACAGAGAGTTGTGTTCCCACAGTTTACCAGTTGCTACTTTGGCCTTATTTTGTAACTGTAAGAATTGTGATAGGTGCTGGTTACTGAATGTCTATGCAGATTGTAAGTGATAAAACATGGGATATTACTGTACAAATGAAAAGTCAAAAACCAGATAATATACGGTGGAGAAACTACTTTGTTTACTTAATGGAACTAGCACTGAAACCAAGAGTAGGAGAGACATGGACACACGCTGATGTATAGAGAGGCAGCGGCTCTACTGTGACCACCTGGACTTTAGTTCATGCATGCTGTCCAGTGAAAGCGTTCTGAGAGTATCTGGATGCCTAATTATGTTCCTCCTTATGTGTCAGAGTGACACATAAAATCTTCTGTTTAAATGTTTTTATTAAAATATGTAACAACATTTAAAAACGCAGGTGCCACCCTTCCTCTATATTTATACATTTCCAGACGCAGGTACCACAATCCCATGTATTAATATATTTCCAAAAGCTTCGACTTACCCTTTACTTTTTTTTTTTTTTACAAAATTCTTTTTTTTATATCACAATTTTATCTTCTAACCTAAATCCATTCATGTTAGCCCCTACTTAAAAACCTATCTATAGCACTGTTCCCCAAAGTTATGATACTTGGTAGTCCTCTTCAAAATCATTACCCTATTTTTTTTTTTGCCCTGTACTACCATTTGACAGTTTTTTAAAATTTGAACTTTCTTTTATAACTTAAACAAGTAAAATTATGTGCCATTTCCACAGTGGAATCCAGTCTGTCTTGCTCTATCAGTCAGTAGAGAACAGATTCTGCTGAACTGGCAAAAGAGCTCAAGACCCAGGTGGATTTACAAAAAACAAGCTTAATTTATGGCTCACACCACAGGTCCACCTCACATCAGTCCTGGTCCTGGTCTGTGTCTTCTTCTCTCTGTGACCAAAGCTAACGGAATACCTTCTATTTGGGACATAGCCAACTTTGCTGAAAAGGAAAAAGAGGACATGGCAAATCCTTGCTTAAAACTCTGAGCCTGAAAGTGCTGGCTCAGAAACGACACAGATTGTTTCCACTCTAATTTCCTTGCCCAGAGCAGCTCACGTGGATAAATTCGAATGGGCCAGGGAAAAATAATCCTTCCCTAGAGGGTGGCGGCAGATATTTTGAACAATAATACAATCAACCACGCGTGCCAAGAATAGAAGAAAGTTATATAAAAATGGGATGAAAACAAAATGTTATTAAATTCTAGTTAGATACTGTTTCCTGCCCGAGTGTTAAAATTGCGCTAGGGCCAAATGATTTTCTTCTTCATAGATTCGGAATATTTAAAAGGGAATTCTATCTCACTCTGTAGTACAATATCCTAGCCACATTCAGGTATCACATAAAGTCATAACATAAAATCATGGTCAATATAATTACCACACCTGTGAAAACATACCTATAAAAATAAAATAAAATTTCAAAACAAGGCTCTTTGAAAATCTGATCTGACCTCAGATGTCCCGTATCAGCTCCAGCCTGCATACTGTTTTCTCCTGTTCCACTGTTCCCTCAGTTCCCTTTGTGATAAATTCCAAGCTCCCTAGACCTCATCTCTGCTGTACAACATCTTCTGTCGTTTAATTGCACCAATATTTGATGAACCAAGAGTCACTATTGTTTTCTTATGTTCACCAGGCACATGTAAGTCAAGTCCTGGCTTTTATCATTCTAATAAAAGTATTATAGACTTCTTTAATCTTCTTCAGTGATAAATAACTCAGACTACTTTTGAAAGAAGTGTGAATGGAAGAAAAAAATTACAAAGAAAAAGAAACATGGGATGACTTGAAATGTAACGTTTTAACCCCAACAGTAAAAGATAGTTAAATATATTACGAATATTACTACTTGGATAAAACTGTTAAAAAGTGTCTGTTATTATAATCAAATATCCACTAAGAAGTTGGATAAATTAATATGGAGGGGGAAGATAAATTATTCAGAAATATTTTGGTTTTCTGATGGGTTAATTTTACAACAGAAACAGTATCAGAATCCAGGGGAGGCTCAGTTTCTGGACTTGAAAAAGTAATGCCTGGGGGCATGTGACTCTGAAATTATTAGGGATGCTTGAAACTCAGAAACACATATAGCTACAGATCTTAAAAGGAATAACACAGCATCATGCCTTCTATTCAAGAAGAAATATGAAAAAAGCATTATTTAAAAAGTAAAATGGATCAACACATTCTCTATTAGACAGTCTACTCCTATCTGTTAATGTAGGATGGCAAAAGTAATTCTGAATTAAGCTATTATTAATTTAGAACCATGGGTGGAGGTTTTTCTGGCCATTATATGAAAACTAATAAAACCTATGTCAGTCCTGTACATGAATACCTTAAGATATCTCTTTGAAAACTTGTTTTTGAAATAAGTTGTAAAAGGAAAATGTATCTTTTTTGTTCTTTAGCATAATTTTGTAATATACTTGGTCTTATGCTATCACGATAGATATGTTGCTTTCTTGACATTCCAGTGAATATTTTAAGGCAATGTTCTGAATATTTCCTTCAATGATTTTTAGCTAGGATTTAAATAATTTTATTTATTTATTTATTTATACATTCATTCATTTTTAGAGATGAGGTCTCACTATGTTGCTCAGCCTGGCCTCAAACTTCTGGGTTCAAGTGATCTGCCTCAGTCTGTAAGTAGCTCAGTCTACAGGTATATGCTACCTCCCTTGGTTTCTTTCAGTAAATTTTAGAAAGTATTTTTCACGTAGTATAGCTACAAGCAATGCATAGTATGCAGCAACATACTTGAAGTACATGTTTAAGCTTTATTTAAAAAATCGTTTTAGTATTTTAATTAGTACCAGGTAAACATTAACTTTGTGCGCTAATTTGGTAGAAATAGGGGTCTCACCTAGGCCAGCCTTGAACTTCTATACTCAAGCAATACTTTGACCTCAGCCTCCCACAGAGCTGGAATTATAGGTGTGAGCCATCATGCCTGCCCATTTTTATAATTTTTGATTGAATGCCTGAGGTATACAAAACACCAAGAGTTGAAAAGTAGTATGGAACATGGACACTGGAATTTATAACCTGGAAGAGAATATGCATCCAAACACAGATTACCAGAGACAGTTAACTGTTTGTTTGTTTGTTTTGTTTTTGGCCAGGGCTGGGTTTGAACCTGCCACCTCCGGTATATGGGGCCAGCACCCTACTCCTTTGAGCCACAGGCGCTGCCCAGACAGTTAACTGTTATACATGCATCAGTTACGTAAGTGTCATTTGTATTCAGGGGCTGGGGTAGTCCTGGTTAATTAGCTTTCCCAGTGGCAAATTTTCTCCCTAAGTCTGATGCATATCCAAAATAAGTCTTAGCAACTGTCTGATGCTCAAGCAGTTTTTTCTGGCAGTGGTCTTACAAGACAGCAGGAGAAGCAACCTGGGGGCATGGGACAGATGTGTTCAGAGGTGAGAGGACCACCTGTCCAGGAGGGTCTCCAACTGGAGTTCACGCTCAGAGTTTGGGGTATTCTTTCCCTTTCTTGTACCTATATTCAATCCACATTAGTTGCCAGGTGTTTCTTTCATAATGCAGGTTAAATTATTCTTCTAAGGATAGGCTTTGTTCAAAGATTTAGGAGAGCTGAATCTATGCTGAGGTGGCCTTATTTTCTGGAAATCCCTGGGCCTTGGTTAGAAATCTCCTAGGGCAGGAAACCTCACCCTGCTAAGTGACACACAGTGTCAGCCCTGCGGGATGCGTAAGCGGCCCTTATAGCTATCATTAATCTTGCAGGCACATCATGTCGCCTACAGCACGCCACAACGCGGTAGTGTGAGGGGACAGCAGGAGACAGAATAAGCATCATTTCACTGGGTTCTGGGGCTCAGCAGAGACACTGCAAAGAAAAAAGGACATGCAATCTGAGCAAAAAATGATAGAATTCAGGCAGAGATCAGAAAGAGGAGAAAAGGGGTACATTCTAGTTAGAAGGCGTAGCATGAGGACAGAGAAAGGCAGGAAATCGTAACAGACATCGCGGCGGTAGCAAGGGGTTTCGACTGACTAGAAATCTGTGTGGGAGAGTGATGAAATGCTGGGAAAACAGGCTGGGCGTGGTATCAGAGTGCAGCGCTGAGAAAAACATCTCTGCTGAATGAATACGATCAACAATGAGTTGCCAAATAGGGACTCTATCTAGCTATTTCAGTGTTTTTAATTACAGGGGCAAAATGCTGTATTACAGGAAACAAATACTGAATCAGCACATTAGGAACACATCCCTCATTAGAAATACTATTTACATAAGCAGGAGGTTTGGAGTTCTAGAATGGATTATTGATGGCTTTGTGTAGATGGAGAGCCAGGAGGTATGGAGGTGGATGGATGAATAGATGCAGATACACAAATAAAAAGTCCATGAATGCATTGATCTATTAGGAAGTGTCTGTTCTAATATGGAA